CTTTCCACCCCCTTTTCCATGATGATATCTGACCCTTGGGGTTAGGAGGAAGATACAGATATCCTACCTGTGACATATCATTACAGAGTCACTTATTCTCTGCACTTTGGTCAGTGTGAAGACCACCCTTCACAGCACAAAGTAACTTCTCTGATGAGTTTGGAATATTGTAATAATCTAGAGGTAAAGATATATGATTGTAGAGGGTTGTTTGACACTATGTCCATTTAGCAAAGTAATAGCAGTAATGTCATCCATGGGATCTGTATATCCTCAATCATGGATTCCTGGCCAGATATGCAGCACCAGGCTTCCTGTGGAGGAATCCCTAAACACAATCAGAAAGTTGCTGGTTATCCAAATAATAATTTTGTCACAAAAAAAATCTACCCATGTCAGTATCTTCTTATGCCAATCATTACTGTAGATCGAAGTGTTCACCGCTGGGTAGGACTATTAGTGGCTTTCTTCCTCCAGCACCCTGCATGCATCTCAGGTACTATGAAAGTTACTCTGAACCTGATAGAAGAGAAAGCAGGAAGTAGTCTTGAATGCATTGGCACCAGAGATCACTTCCTAAATATAATACCAGTAGCACAGACACTGATAGCACAATTAATAAAGGGGACCTCTTGAAACTGAGAAGCTTCTGTAAAGCAAAGGACACGGTAAATGAGACAAAATGACAGCTGACAGAATGGGAAAAGTGTCAGAGACCACACATGGACCATGGAAAAGTACTAGCTAAGCCAGAGACCAAGCCCCTACCCTAAACTGGATGTCCCCAAAGATAAAGAACAGGTCAGGCAGGTCAGGTAGCATAGCAACAGAACAATGGGCCCTGACCAGTGACCTTACCACCTAGCAGCCTCACGACTTGCACGACTTGCACGTAGCCCTTCACCTGCACGTCCCCCTTCACCTGCATGTACGGCACGTTGTGCACCCCTTCCCTCCTTCCTGCCCCCTCTCATGCTATATAAGCCTTGCTGAGGAGAATAAAATTTGCAGCTTGATCAGAACACACTGTCTTGCTGTTGTCCTTTCATGTCTCCCCTATCCCTCTCATTATCTCCCACAGGTGGGTCGCCCCCATTGACACCCTGCTGGCGGGGGCAACAGCTGACAGAATGGGAAAAGATCTTCACCAACCCCACATCTGACAGAGGGCTGATAGTCAGAATATATAAAGAACTCAAGAAACTAGACATCAAAATACCTAACAGTCCAATTAAAATTGGCCTATAGAGCTAAACAGAATTCTCAACAGAAGAATCTCAAATGGCTGAAAGACATTTAAGGAATTGCTCAGCATCCTTAGCCATCAGAGAAATGCAAATCAAAATGACTCTGAGATACCATCTTACACCTGTCAGAAAGGCTAAGATCAAAATCACTGTAGTTAGCTATGTTGGAGAGGATATGGAGCAAGGGGAACACTCCTCCACTGTTGGTGGGAGTGCAAATTGGTACAGCTACTGTGGAAATCAGTATGGCAGTTTCTCAGAAAATTGGGAATCAATCTTCATCAAGACCCAGCTACACCACACTTGGGCATATACCCAAGGAATGCTCAATCAAACTACAAGGACACATGCTCAACTATGTTCATAGAAGCATTATTTGTAATAACCAGAACCTTGAAACAACCAAGATGCCCTTTAACTCAAGAATTGATAAATAAAATGTGGTACATATACACAATGGAGTACTAGTCAGCAGAGAAAAACAATGACATCATGAGGTTTACAGTCAAATGGATGAAACTAGAAAATATCATCCTTAGTGAGGTAACCCAGACTCAGAAAGACAAACATGTTATGTACTCACTCATAAGTGGATACTAAAGGTAAAGCAAAGGATAACCAGACTGCAACTCACAGCTCCAGTGAGGCTAGCTAGTAAAGAGGACTCTAGAAAAGACAGTTTGCCCAGCGACAGAGAAATGGATGAGATCTACATGAGCAAACTGGGGGGTGGGGAGTAATGGAGAGCAAGTGTTGGGGGAAATAGATCTTAGGGGAGCAGGAGGTCTTAGTTGGATCAGGAACAGAATGGGAGAACAAGGAAAGAGATACCACCTTAAATGAAGGCACCATGCGAATAGGAAGAAATAGAGTGCTAGAAGGTCCCCAGGAAGCCACAAAGATGACTCCACTATAGACTACAGGCAATGGCTGAGAGGGTGCCTGAGCTGACCTACTCTTGTGATCAGATGGCCGAACACTCTGTCATGAGAGAACCCTCATCAAGTAACTGAGGGAAGCAGATGAAGAGATCCATAGCTGATCCCCAGGAGGAGCCCCAGGAGCCCAGTCGATGAGAGAGAGGAAGGATAATATGAGCAAGAAATATCAAGACCATGATTGGAAAAAGTACAGAGACTATACTAGCCAAACTAGTGGAAACACATGAACTGTGATCCAATAGCTGAGGAGTCCCGATGGCACTGGACTAGGTCCTCTGGATAAGTGAGACAGTTGATTAGCTTGAACTGTTTAGGGGGCACCCAGGCAGTGAGACTGGGACCTGTCCTTAGTGCATGAGCCAGCTTTTAGGAAACGAGTGTCTGTGATGAGACACTTTGCTCAGCCTTGGTGCAGGGAGGAGGGTATTAGACCTGCCTCAACTGAATGTACCAGGCTCTGCTGACTCCCCTGGGGAGACCTTGCCTTGGAGGAGGTGAGAATGGGGGGTGGGTTGGGGAGGAATTCTGGAGGGTGGGAGGAGGGAAGACTGGGAATCTGTGGTTGATATATTGTGGTGATATTGTGTTCCCCAATATATCATACACCCTAATAAGTTTATCTGGGGTCAGAGAACAGAACAGCCCCTAGACAGACATAGAGGACAGAAAATGGTGGCACACACACCTTTAATCCTAGCCTTCTGGAGGCAGAGATCCATCCGGATCTCTGTGAGTTCAAAGCCACAGTGGAAATAGCCAGGCATGGTGACTCACACCTTTAATCCCAGAAAGTAATGTCAGAAAGCAGAAAGGTATATAAGGCATGAAAACCAGGAACTGGGCTGGTTAAGCTTTTAGGCTTTTGATCAACAGTTCAACTGAGATTCATTCTGGATGAGGACTCAGAGCTTCCAGTCTGAGGAAACAGGATGAGCTGAGGAACTGGCAAGGTGAAGTGGCTGTAGCTTATTCTGTTTCTCAGATCTTCCACCCTTCACCCCAATACCTTGCTCCAGGTTCATTTTCATTAATAAGACCTGTTAAGATTCATGCTACAATATGTAAAATAAATAGAAAATCTCTTAATAAAAAGAAAAGAAAAGAATCAAAACGTCAATGTGAAAATGCATAAATTCTGTTGGAATTGATGTCAGCTGATGAAATTCTGGATTTTAATAATTGAAACCTTTTGTTTTCCTACTCTAAGGCTGAACAAGGGACATCAGGGGAAAGTCCTATATCATCCTTTACATTTCTACATGATGCTGGAAACTCTTCTCAACTTTCTCAATAAAAACAACACAAAGGTGCCATCAACTCAATCACCCTGGGCGTGCTGGCTTAGGCTAAGCACAGAGTTCCTGTTTCTCAAAATAGCTATTATTCTCTTTTCCTTTCTTGCCTACAGTTTTCGGAGTTCACTCATGGAAAACATCTGCATCTTGTAATCTATTTATCATCCTGTCAGACCAACTTCCATATATCCAACTTTCTATGTGTCCTGTGGATAGAGCAATGAAGACTATAGTCTTAATGAAATAAGTATGGAGGGTGCTCTGAACCACTGCAATCGACTGAATATTTTTATACTACTTTGGAACCCTGCCCACTCATGTGGGGGTACATTCTTGGACTGTAAGCAGTAAGCACTTATGGGATGGGAGATGGCTGAAAGAGTGATACACTTACCAAGCAAGCCTAAAACTTGAGTTTAACACCTTAACACGGTAGAAAACAGAGGGAATGACAGGGCACTGTCATGAACCTCTGTACTGATGAGAGCTGGAGACCAGAGAATGTTTGGAATCTGTAGTACCAGATGTACCAGTGTACAAAGCTCCTAATAAGAAGGACCCTGTTTTAAAGAAGGCAAAAGTGAAGAACTGACAACTAAGTCCTCTGTTGTTTCCTCATGCTGTGGAACTGAGGCAAAAAAAAAAAAAAAAACAGAAAAAGTTCACAAAATCAAAAACACACCCCACACAAAATATACATGAGGCAATTGTATTACAGTTCTATTGATTTATTTAATATACAACAGGCACAAATTATAAGTTACCTTAAGGCCTTAGAAAAATGTTAGTGAACAAAGGACACCCCTTCTTTACCTATACATGGCACAGGAATGTGACACTGGACAGAGGGAACAATCCAGAACTTACATGTCACATCTTCAATGGACACTTGCTGTCTGGAAACGACATACTTCTCCATGTGCACACGAGACACAGGCTGTAGCTCTGCAAGGTACACAGTTCAGTCTGACCTATGGCAACTCCTCCAGTGACGTCGGTATGTGGATGACCGGCGGAAGCTACGGTTACACACAGAGCCGGTGCAGGGTTTCACTCCTGTGTGAATCCTCTCATGAGTCTGCAGTTTGGTTTGACTGCTGAAAGACCTCACACATGTACTACATTGGAAAGGCTTATTTTGCCTATGTATGACCTCATGTATTCTCAGGTCTGAGCAAGTATGGAAGCCTTTATGACACCTGGGACAGAAAAATGACCTCTTCTTCTTGTGTGTTTTCTGGTGAGCTGAAAGTCTACAGGGATATTTGAAGATTCTTTGACATTCCTCACATTTGTACGTCTTTGGGTCTCTGTGGAGTCTGTCTTGGTGACTCTCAAAAGTGGAGTTTGCATCATGAATCTGGAAGTCTTCAGTCTGCTCTAGCCTGGAGATAATCTCTGATTGTACCTCCATAGGGACATCTTCAGGAGGAGTTCCCTTCTGAAATTATTCCTGGTACCTGGAGGTGACTTGACTTGTTCTGCTGTAATTATGAGGGTTTTTTTTTATAAGAAACCCTTCCATGTTCAGGCTCTGGAAATTGTTCTTTTTGGATAATGATAAGGGAGTCGATCTGATTTCCAGGACTACTATTACCACCATTTACATCCCTAGTGTTCCAGGTATTGTTTTGGCCATCTTCATTGTCTTCATGTCCTGTGGAAATACGATACTCAATGAAACTGTGCCCATGAAGGGATCCCTACACAATACACCTCCTCTGTGCAGCTTCCTGACACTCTCCTGTTTTTAATAACATGTCTTGGGAGACTGGAAAGGGTGTCCTTGCAGTCTCTTGTGTTGAACTTCTTGATGATTGCTGCTCTTTCAGGAGGTTGATGGCTTCTTTTAAGGACATGGTCTCAGAAAAGAGGGCTTCCTGCCCCTGCATGGCGATGTGAACCTGTAAACAAAGCCAAATGACAATTGCCAATGAATCTGTGGATCTGTGGATGACAGAAATCCTGCCCACCAACTGACTGTATGGCATTACTGGAATATTGGTTAGGTCATTTGTCTATTTCTCATATCTGATGGTGTTATTCTGTCATTCACAAGTTATGTTCTCTAAAGTCCCTATTCACAATGTATTTGCAAGTGTTGAGTCACAGTTCCCAGGGAAAAGGTAAAGTTATATTTCTGCAATGCATGGCCACAACATTTTCTTCAACTGGTCATTGTATTTGTGGAAAGATGAGGTTGGCCCAAACTGGAAAATAAGGACTTTTATCCTTAAAGAATGGCTTCTCATTATTCTAAGGATTGTCCCCTTTCCCCATGCCAAGTTATGGAAACTATAACAAAATTTCTGTCTTAGTGAAATACAGTAAGGTTTGATAGGTCTAATCAGGAAGAGATTTGTACAATGACATTAGAAATGTGTTTATGGGGTGTTTAAAAAATGTCACCACATTGGCCATTTCTGTCAGTGACTAAGCATTATGCAAACCTAGATGTTTAAAAAGATCCAATGTAATTACATCTATGTTCAGTTTGGGGTTTTCAAAATTTGCATTTCTTCACCATTATTCATCAAGGTATATCTTACGGGTATGTCAGTGTTAAATATGTATTTGATAGCTATAGTTTAACATCAGAAATAATATTCTAGCATCCTGAAACTTAGGAATCATATATACAGGTGTTCTTAATGATTTGTAGTAGATAATTTGGAGGACTATTAATTGAATTAAATCTCAAGTTTTTGCCCCCCAGGTCCCGGGATCACAGGCTACTTCTGAGAATCAGAATTTTAAATGTGTGCTGAGATGGCAACTCAGTACTCCTGATTAGGATGTAACCAGCACCCTAAATGAGCCAACTTCAAAGCCCAAGGTATCTTTTCTAAACTGATAAAGGCTTTGCTCAGATGTCTTATCCCAATGTCTCTGCCATCATGTAAATAATTTAATTATAATTATATCCATCCAACAATCCATGGGCTCTTTTCTGTTTTATTCATAGTAATATAGAACATTTGGTAGTCTCTTTTTGAAACATGTTGGTGGTGGTGCAGTGATACAGTCTTAACAATTTAAAAACAAAAACAACTTTCTAAGTTTCCTCAAAAAAAAATGACTGTCTTAATTGCTGACTTAACTATCTCTCAACCAAGGTACTCACCATGACAGGAGGCTTCAAGCACTCATCAATCAAACCCTCCATGAATCTCCCCATGTTTCTGTCACTTGATTCCCATTTCTCTTTAAAGGCAAACTTGTCCTTGCATTTACCAGTGATGAGAAACTCCTTCAAGACAAGTTGAGAAATCATCTGCTCCTTGCTATGCTTTTCTGGCTGCAACCAGGAGTTAAACATCTCCCAGAGTGCTGACAGCTCCTTCTTTGCACAGGAGACACTGTCATTTGGGGGAAAGTTGAGCTGAGGAATTGGCAAGTTAGAGATACCTTCTTCCCACTGCACAGGAGAAACCTGGGTTGGAATAAACTCCATGCAGTCTAATAAAGGGTCATTTTCTGGTAACTGGGGCTTAGAGGAGTCTCTGAGGTGTGAAGCCATTCTGTTGAGAGTCCTCAAAAAATTCAACTTTGTCAGTCAAGTATCTGTCTTGTGACTTGAAGAACTGTTTAAGCAATTTGTGGATGTGTTAATTCTATAAGTGAAAAAGAGAAAAGACACATAATTAAGTCAAAGATTAACTAAGAGTCTTGACACAGGTATTATCATTATTTCTTAAGAATATGTATGCCCACACAAATTCTTCTAGCAACCACAACAAAGAGGAGATGTGAGTGTAACAGCACTTGACTCAGCAGGGAGAAATATCCTCTGTTGAGGATGGCAAGACCTGCAATAAGGAAACAGCAAGGTACGCAGTAGCACAGGGGTACCTGTTCACCCTTGTAAAATGCAGAGTTATTGTTGCTGAACCACAAATTTTAAGTTTCACCCTTGTCTCCCATTCTAAATGCCCCAGAGCAACACTTTAATACAAAATGATAAAAGTCAATGACGGGCAAACTTCAATTCCCAAGGTACCAAAGGATTTAATAAAAAGAAGCACATGTCTATTCTTGAGTAGCCCTCAGAATTTTAAATGCAACAGTCTTGATCAGAAAGAATGTCCTAGCCAGGGAATGCTGGCACATGCCTTTAATTCCATTACTTAGGAGGCTGAGGCAGACAGATCTCTGTGAGGCAGGCAGATATCTGAAAAGCAGGCAGATCTCTGTGAGTTCAAGGCTAATCTGGTCTACATAGTGATTTCCAGGATAGCCAGTATGTGTCATGAAAAAAACCTGCTTGAAAAAAAAAACAAAGAAAATGAAAGAAAGAAAAATAAAAATAAAGGTTATCAGAAAAACTGCATTATGACTTTAAAATATATTCCCATAATTGTGATGTAGAATATCCTACAACCCACAAGTAATCATGCAAACACACACACACACACACACACACATACACACACACACATACACATACACACACACATACACACACACACACACACACACACACACACACACACACACACACACATACTCAAGGTAACAAAGAAGGGTAATGTTTCTATTCTCCAAACTTAACTCTTTCTTGGATAAATCTCAAGGATGATTCCAGGAAGCAGGGGGTGGTAGAAAGTGTTTACAGTCCTCTGCTCTGCTTAATCTGAAGTACTTTTCAAGTTGACTTCCTTTTATAGTCTTCATCCCTTTTTGTTTCTTTTTAAAAAATATTTTTTGGTGTTGAAAAGCAATCCTAAATCGTCTTAACAATAAAACCCCAGAGGCAGATATTGAGGGTGAAAGCTGAAAGATCAGAGAAGCAGAGCAACCAGCCACTTCTTACCTCTGTGAAATCTCAGACTGAATGTGAAGAGATCCTGTGTCTGTGAATCCTTAGACTGAGTGGGGGAGCTCCTGTCTCTCAAATCCTCAGCCTGGACTGGCACTGAGAGCCTATCTCCACCTGCTTTATGAGCCTGTCTCCACCTCCTAGTGCTGAGATTAGAGGCTTGTGGCTCCACCACCTGGCTCTGTTTCTCTTTTGGACTGAATCAATCTGCAGTAACCTAGGTGGCCTTGAACTCCTGATCTTCCTGCTTCCTCCCCCAAAGTGCAGGGATTAATGGTGTGTGCCACCACTCTCTGGCCTCTATGGATTACTATTGGCTAGTTCTGTGCTCTGATCCCCAGGCAAGCTTTATTTGTCAGAACACAAACAAAATATCATACAACAGGTGTGGCTTGTTTTTACAAACAAGTGATTTGTAGGCTAGCCTGCTCACAAGTTCATTAGGTGGTTGAGAATGACCTTGCACTACAATCCTATGGCTTCAAACCACTCAGGTCTGGGGTTCCAGAGTTGCCTCACTGCTTGAAGGGTCTTTTTTGTTGTTTATTTGTCTGTTTTTATTTTTGTTGTTGTTGCTGCTGCTGTTCTGCTTTTTGAAATATTGTCTCCCTATGTGCCGCTGGCTACACGGGAACTAATATGTAGACCAGATTGACCTCAAATTCACATATACTTTCCTCTGTCTCCTCAGTGCTGGAATTAAACGTGTGTGCCATTAGCAATGGCTTTCTCCAAACATGCTAATTGTTAGGTTCAATTGTATCACCTGAAATTCATGGTTGGGGTCTTATTATCTAAGATTTTGATCTTTTAGCAAAATGTGCTTAATATCCACACAAAAGGCAAAATTCAAATTGCCATCTTCCAAGACAAGCTGGATGCTCAGTGACTAAAATTTATAAAGTCTAAAGTCTTCTAAACTATAACACCAAAATTTTTGAATATTAAACCTCAAGCTGCAGTTCTCCTGGGAGAATAAAAATTGTCGTGTGCTAGGGAAAGAATTCCAAATTCTGCATATGGATTAGCCAAAAGGTGCAACAATGATTGAATCTTCAGTATAAAAATTTCATTTTTTCTGCATTAATATTTATTCCTGTTGATGATATTCTGGATTTTAGTAAATTAACACCATGTTAGTCAGAAGAAATATTCCAATGAAAATATTTGTTTTCATGAGAATAATAAACATGCCACTGTGTGTCACTGTTTACCTCCTTCTTGAAAATTGCAGGCGATACAATTCATCCTAACAATTAGAATGTTTGGAAGAAGTCAGTGGCCTCTAATCCCAACACACACCTTTAATCCCAGCACTAAGTAAACACAGGCAGGTGAATATCTAAGCCGAGGTCACCCAGGTCTACAGAGTGATTAGTCCAGGGCTACAGAAACAGAATGTCTCTCAAAACAGCACTAAACAGAAAAACAAACAAGCTTGTTGTTTCCATACACTCCCTGATTTCCTGGATGTTTTATGTCAGGAATATGTGAGATTTAACATTTTCTTTCACAAATTATGAAGTATCTATTTCTTCTATAGTGTCTTCATTGCATAAGATTCTCTCTTCCAGGCCAGGCAGTGGTGGCACATGACTCTAATCTCAGCACTCTAATACAGGTGGATCTTTGTGAGTTTGAGGCAAGTTGGGTCTACACAGCAAGATCCAGGACAGGCATCAAAACTAGACAGAGAAACTCTGTCTGAAAATAAAAAGAGAGATTCTTCCATCTCTGTTTTCTGTTGGTGATGTTTGCATCTGTAGTTCCCATCTGCTTACCTAGATTTTACATTTCCCGAAATCCCACAGTTTCTATTTGCTTTATTGCTTCTTTTTGAGCTGTCTTAGGGATTTCATTGAAATGTTTGTTTTTCTTCCCTTGGCTTTCTTGTCATTCATTAAGGGATTTATTGATTTCCTCTGGGTAGGCCAAGGTGGCCTTGAACACACTTTGTAGCAGAGAATGGTTCAACGTCTGATCCCCCGGCTCACACTTCCCAGGTGCAAAGATGGTGGGAGTGCTTCATGCCATCAGGATATCTCATTGCTATCAGCTGAGTTCTGTCCTCTGGTGTTCAGATGTACAGGACTTAACCACCGTCTTTAGGCTATGTTTTATTTGGAAACATAAGGAACATTATGATCCTTATCCAAAATCTGTAATCACCAAAAAGATAGAATCTTGAAAGATTATAAAGACTGAAATATCCCCCAAACCATAATCTATGTAACTTTACTTTTGAAATCTTGAAGCCTAAATCACCCAACTTACAAAGTCTCACAAGGAAAGAAAGACTAGAGAACACACCACCATAAGGAGAGGGTTTGAAGGAAAATGCTGGGTGAGAAATCAGTCACAAGGGCCCCAACAATAATAACTTCAATGTGGAAATGCATAAATTCTGTTGGAATTTATGTCAACTGAATAAATTCTGGATTTTAACAATTGAAACCTCCTGGTTTCCTACTCTAAGGCTGAACCAGGAACATCAGGAGAAAGTCATAATTCATCCTCAACATTTCTACATGACACTGGAACTCAGCTCAGCTTCCTCAATGAAATCAACCACATAAAGGTATCATCAACTCAGTGACTCTATGCAGGCTGGGTTCAACTATGTACAGAGTTCCAGTTTCTCAATATAGCTATTATTCCCTTTTCCTTTCTTGGCTACAGTTTTTAGAGTTTATTCATGGAAAAATCTCTGCATTTTGTAATCTATTTATCCTCCTGTCTGGCCAGCTTCCATATAACCAACTCTACTCCCTATATTCTAGGTGTCATGTAGATAGAGCTATGAAAAGTATGGTGTTACAACATTGGAATAAGTATGGCAGTCTCCTCTGAACCATTGTGATTGCCTGGTAGAAAAAGTCAGAGGAAATGTCTGAAAGAGTGATGCACTTGCCATGCAAGCCTAAGACATAAGTCTGAAATCTTCACAGTGTAGAAAAAAATTAGAAGGAATGGCAGGGTGCTGACTTGAACCCCTTTCACATGGAGAGCAGGAGACCAGAGAATGTTTACAATCTGTAGTACCAGATATACTGGGGTACAAAGCTCCTGATAAGAAGGACCCTGTTCAAACAAGACAAAAATAAAGAAATGAAAACTAAGTCCTCTGTTGGACTCTCATCCTGGGTAACTGAGGCAAAAAACCAGACAAATACAAAATCACAAACACTCCACACAAAATATATGTAAGAGACAATTTTATTTAGGGAACTGGCTTCAGATTCCATACCTTTTTTTTTTCTTCAGAGCTGAGAACCTAACCCAGGGCCTCATGCTTGCTAAGCAAGTGCTCCACCACTGAGTTATATCCCCAGCCCCTATCTCTGATGGGAAGACATGCAGAAATGACCAGCCACACTGGTGGAGACCCATAAACTGTGGACTAGTGGCTGTGGAACCCCCATGGGACTGGACTAGGCCCTCTGGTTAAGGGAGACAGTTGTTTAGCCTGAACTTTTTGGGGTACAATCGGGCTGGGGGGATTGGGATCCATCCCTGGTGCATGGGCAGGCTTTTGGGAGCCCGGTGCCTGCTGTGTCTCATCTTGTGTAGCTTTGGTGCAGCTGGGAGTGGCTTGGAACTGCCTAGGCTCTGTGTGCCTGTCTCTACTGTTCCCCATGGGAGACCTTGATTTGGAGGATGTGGGGATGGGGGGTGTCTTGGTGGGGAGGACTGGGGGATGG